CCCAAAACATGAAATCCCCGGCCTCTCTTTGCATTTTACCCGGCATGGGTATTTTAACTCCTGACCGGGTATTTTGCTCTTCCAGCGCCCTTCACTCAAGTGTCCTCCTTTTTGACCCGAAACTCGTTTCCTCGCCTTCACGTCAACGCCAAGTCCTGAAATATGACATAAACACACAACCTAACGTGAAATCGGCTTAAAACACGAGAATGACTCTCAAACGGCTCAAGAATGAAGGTATAAACATGTGCAATCAATGGTCTATCAATAACATATATACGTGATTTGTGATAATATATGTTACTCAGCATGTTAATGATTTGTTATTATATTTTAGTAAGTGGCGGACCCAGAATTGTCGGAGAGGTGTGTCGCCGATAAAATAAGATAATAATTAAAAATATTAATTAAAAAAATTATTAAAATTTACTAGAAATTAATTCATAAAGTTCACAATGTCATGTTTATAACGAACCACAATGACTTTTCATGTTCTGAAATGTCTGTAAAATACATTCATTGCTTATGTTGCGAAGCAAATCCTTTTCGATATACGGAGTCAATCAGCTGCTTATCTTTAGGGAAGAGAGCCCGGTAGAAGGGGACCACCCTGAAAGCATCGGTAAAACTATGATTGGGACACTTTAGGAAAAGACTAGTGTATCTTTCTCATGCATCCCGGATGGTCTCGTCCTCTTCTTGTGCAAACTATGTGATCTCCTTCTGCAGGTCTGCTGTCTTGGATTGAGGGTGATAGCGGGTGAGTAACTTGTTGGCCAGATTAGCGAACGTATTGATTGATCCTGGAGGCCGAATGTCTAGCCACTCCTTGGCCTGCCCCTCCAAAGTAAATGGGAAGTACCTCAGCTGGATGGCGTCTGCAGGGACTCCATTAATCTTGATTTCTTCGATAAGCTCGTTGAATCGTCATAGGTGCGATCTGGGGCACTCCCCATCTTTCCCATGGAATACCACCGAGCTGCGCAGCATGGTGATGGCAGAGGTACTCACCTCAAAGTTATTGGAAGCAACTTGAGGGTGTTGGATGGGGGACCTTATGTCTGCGGCTCGGACGGTCTAGTAATAGCCCATGGTATGCTCCTCGGGAATGACCGCATCATTTTTCTGTGGGTCACCCATTTCTTTCTCCTCTGTGATGTGCAGTTGCTCCAAAGCTTCCTCTGCAGCCAGTTGCGCCTTCAAAGCTCGCTTGAAGTTCCTACAAGTCCTTCCGAGCTCTTGGTCTAACGGATATAGCTCACCCGACTGGCTACGGGTCATGCACAACCTGCAGATAAACTGCAAGCACAACCCGTGAAGGCACACATGGGGAAGAAGAAAAATGCAAAAATGTAAATGCTAAAGTAACAGACTTTCACATTTCTACAATAACCTAGCAGTTTCCGGCAACGGCGCCAAAAACTTGGCACGTACGACACAACACCAAACTGCGAGCAAGTATAATCGCGGAGTGGAAATACATAATAGTGGTTAAGTCTAATTATCGACCCGGGCTCTAGATCTACTGCATACTCAGTGAACTCCTATTATCTAGCAGGACTAAGCGAGTGTAATGATTTTAGTGTAAAAGAAACAAAAGCAAGTAATTGTATGGTTCTTTTCGGGTTCAAAAGGTCATCTAGGTATGGTTCCCCCTAGTGCGCAGCTAGTTCAGGTTATACGGTCCCAAATTACTCATATTGATAGATAAACAGCGAAAAGTTCTTTACTGGTCTAGACTCTCGGCTAAAGTTATCCAGACCCTCTTGATTCAAATACCCGGCGGGCGACTAACCTCCACCGACATACACTAACCAAGGTTAAACAAGCGAAACTTCCACTACTGGCCTTTGTTCCAGTATGGAGCAGTGAATCGACTTCTCGACTAAAGCACTCGATTCACCACTTTCAATTAAAGGTTCCTCTTTTAACCTATGCAGAGACTATCGTTCTAGGTTAAAACCGGAAATACACAGGTTTGATCAGGACTCATGCAATTCTGAATAATCCTCAACTGAATTTATCAAATCAATCTTTGATAACATGGGGTTCATACAATCATTCCTAACATACACAGCTAGGGTTCTTTATACCTAGATGAAATAGAAAATTACTCCATGGAGAGATGTGAGAACGTCATGTTCGGAGTAGACATCATCAGTATAACAATGGGCAACTGCTACTAGCGACTAATCTGTACTCCGAGGTTGGGGAATCGAGCTCCGAGTTCTTCAGATAGCTCCAATCCTTGCCCAAGGATTTCTCTTCGTCAGTCGCACTAAATCTAGTTTCAAAAGTGGCGGAAGCCACTCAAGTCATGCCTTGCTAGTTTTATTAATGTTGCACTAATAGTCGTCATTCTGATGATCGTTGCTGAGACCATCTAAACTGCATTGGGTGTTATAATTGTAATGTTGGCTCATAATAAGAGAAAAAGTACGGCAATAAGTCAATAAAAAGAAAAAAAATTAATTACAAAACAACACAATTTTATGAAAATATTATATTTGTATGTTAAATATAAAATATGTTGAAAAAAATGATAATTTATATACAAAATACATATGCATGTGAATAATCGGGCGAGTTCGGATCGGATAATGAGGAAACCATGCAAATCCATAACCCACAATATTTTGTTTCAGATTTTTCTCGTATCCACTAAAAATCATTCATATTAAGATTTTACCTTCTCAATTAGGTCAGATTTGGGCGGATTTCACGATTGCGGATCCATCTCTTCAATTTGGATTGTACGAATTATTTATTAGGTTACCAAAATTAATAAAATAAACTAAAAACATAATTAATAGAACCATTCACATTCAGCACCACTTGTTGACTCCAAAAAAGCGTTCAATCTCAAGTGGGAGGAGAAAAGGAAGTGGGATGGGATCTCACCACTAAGACGGTGTTTCTCATCGGAGATCTAGCCGTCTGCCGATCGGTATTCCGTCGTCATCGCTCACTTACTTTCTTATTTATGTTATTTATTGATTAACATACTTTAAAATTATTGATTAGTCATAGGAATAGGCTTAAGTACCTATGTGTAATACACTTATGGTAAATGAGGAAATGACCCGCGGGTCGATCCGGACTCGGTCGAACTAGTGGGTCAAGGGTTAATGGGTCACCCGTTTTAATTCGATTTAGCCCGAAAATATGAAAAGAGTAATTATATTATACTTATCTTGAATCAAACATAGAGAAAATACAACACTATTTAAACTCCAACACACTTAAATAACATCAACTAAAATTCAACATAATAAAAATTCAACGACACTTAAGAACGAGAGCCTGCTGACCAGCTCGGATGGGCCAACCGCCCTGGTTTTTTTCGGGTTTGACTGGGTTTTCCCGAGTTTGACCATTTCTGGGCTAACTCACAAATAGACTGTTCTATCCCATTTTTAGGAGTGGGTCCGGGCCAACCTGGGTCAACCTACGGGTTGACAAGCTTGGTTGTGATTGATGTGCATCATAATTTGTACATTCATGTAAGTGAAAGATTGTTCTAACGATACCATCATATTTTCAATGTGTAGCTTAGTTGACGAACTATCAATTCTGAGTCGACTTATATAGTCTGTCAGCTGAACAGTGAAATCTCAAATTGTCCTTGTTTGCAAAGTAATGAAACATTTGAAATCTGACCCTAGCTAGCCACCACAAAGTTAAGGAAACGCCCATGATCACTTTGGAATTATTGGGCAACAAATAATAGTTAACGATAATGGACGAATGAAATCTTTGTTAAAGTAAAGTGACATATATCACTAGGACCCAGTGTTTTTGGCGAGGTAGCAAGTGGCGATGTGGACACCCAACCTCTCCTTTCCTTTGTTTCTTTCGTTCACAAGTAGAGCAAGAAGAGGCTCTCCTTTCCTTTGGCCCTGCTGTAGCTTTTGCAGAAGCAGCTTCTGGCTGTAACTTTTAGAGAAGTACTTTTCAAAAAAAGCAGTTGAGTGTTTGGCTGAAAAACTATTAGAAGTGCTTTTTAATATGAGAGGTTATGTAAAATGACTATAAAGGATTTAAAATATAAAATATGAATAAAAATTATAAACAATAAAAAGTAGTCAATATGGATCTTGTTAGATTTTTTTTATATTAAATAATATGATTTTATAATTTATTTTATTTTTATAATGATTGAAATGAAATAAAATTATATTTTCTGAAATAAGATTAAAATATGGTAAGGATAATCTTGTATTTTCAGAACAGCTTTTCGCAGAAGCTCCAAATCGGAGCTTCTGCTTTTATGTTATACAAAAGCACTTTTCAGCTTTTCAAAAGCCGAGCTTTTAGAGGTGTTTGGCCCTGCTTCAGCTTTTGAAGCCGAAAAGCACTTCTAAAAGCCGGGCCAAACATAGGCAAAGTGGGCGGCCATTGGTTACTTACTTCGATTGGCCATTATTTATCGTACCAGTCATCGTCTCTCCAGCTTTGGCACTTGGGTTTTTTTAATACCCCAAATCACTACATGCTTTGCCAAAAAATTCCCTGAACATGAGCCTCTCATTGTGATTCGGCTATACCACTGAATACGAACAAGTATCGCGTTTACGACTTTCCAGTCATTTGATTTGGGATCAGATTGTTGTTGTGTATGCCAAACACGAGGAAAAATGATCAGGATGACAAAGATTTTACACTTGAACAGCCATTCAAAAGTTGAAGAGTAGCCTAAAGGAAGGCCAAGCTCTCGTGTGCCCCCAATCATAAAAAGAGGTTATGTCGTGTATGGATCGTAATTATTGGTTTGGTTGTGAGTGGGCAGAGCATCTGGACTGATGATGAATATTGGTCCCTGCAACTGCAATGGGGGTATGAACAGATGATATATGCATATGCTCTCTCACGTTGTAGAAAACGACTTCACAAAGAATCACCGCCAATCGTCCCTCCCGATATCTCATCCAAGCGATGGAAACCCAAACTCTGTTTCTCTCTGCTCCCGAGTTTGTGTGCGGTATCATCAATCTGTTAAGTTAAATTCCAACCACAACTGCACGGAACATCCGGTCGAAAGCTTGGACGATGCGGGGAATCAGACGGAGCTGAAGGAATCGAAAACAGGCCTTGATGGGGCCGCCGAGGGCGGCGAGCTTCGACCAGAGGCGGCGGAGGAAGTGAGGGTCGGCGGAGCCAGGGGAGGAGGACATGGGCTGGAGGTAAGCCCAAGCGGCCTGCTTCACTAGATGGTTCCGGATGCAGATTTCGTAAGCGGAGTCGTGGAACACGGAGGCGCTCCCGTGCGCGGCGGTGGCGGGGGAGTTAACGACGGAGGAAGGCATAAGGTCTTTGAGTGAGGTGTAGGAAGAAAATCCCGGCGGCGATTTGAGGGAGAAGAGCTCCAAGTCGGTGAGGAAGCCGTTTGTCGGAGGGAGGCTGGAAGTGTGAAGACTGAGCCTTGAGGGGATGGGGACGGCGTCGGTGGCGATGGAGTTTCGGCGGCGTAGAGGCTCCGGCGAGTCTGTCTCCGGGTCTTCCATCGGGTTTTATGTGGAAGAAAGAGAGAGAGAGGAGGGGGGGGGGGGGGGGGGGAGTAAAAGGGGAAGTAAGGATCTGGTGAAAGATGTTTAAATAGGATAGGACATAGGAGCAAAGCTGAAGAAAGTGGGCTGTTTTCTATTTTCTTTTTCTTTTCTATTATTTATTGAATTTGGGTTTAGTGGTGTCTGGTGTGAGTGGCGCGGCGGCGACTGACGGCTGAGGGTGGTGGTGGCAGGGCAGAGGAAAGAGCGGAAGGGCAGCTGCCTGCAATTATTGAGGAAAGTCGTTGTCCGTTCAGTCACTCTCTGGTTTTCTAATTTTTGATTTTCTGATGGTTCCTTTCCTGCAGCAACTTTTCTGATGGCGACACGTTGTAAACACTAATAAACACATCGGACCACCTCGAAGCCCATTTAGCTGGAATTTTATCATCATAATTATAAATTCTGTCCGGTGGGACACTTGTATATATTTCTTTATAATACTACTATATTCAAATAATTAAATTTATCTCATGGTTTTAAAATTGTTATACTAACCCCAATTATACATCATATTATCTAGTTTGGCTCGATTCATAAATTTCCTTCAAATTAGGCAGTCAACACTATTGACCATTAGTGAATTATCATACTTTGTTGATGTGGATTCCACGTAGGCAATACAAATTAATAAAAAAATTCATAAAATTAAAACTAGATAAATAAATTTGGATCCAACGTAGACATCATTGTTTATTTTGTTGTTAGTTAAATAAATAAAATATGGAAATAATTTGGAATTTGAATTTTTATTTATTTCATGCTGACGTGGCAGTGAGCTGGAGCATTGACTGCTAGTCAACGGTATTGACCTCTAAATTGACCGTCAAAACACACGTCCGACCAAACTAGACTATATAGTGTATAATTGAGGTTATGATAGCACTTTCTAAAATCACGAGCCAAATTTGATTATTTGAGTAAAATTCGGACCATAATAGGATATTAACCTTTTTTTGATAAATTATTAACCCTTCTATATAATATCACTAAAAATACTAATTTTATACGAAATTTTTATTTGAATTCCATAATTTTTTGAATTACAATTATGATCGCCCTCATTACTAGGGATGGCAATGGGTCGGGTTGGGGCGGGTTGTGTCAAACCCAAACCCAAACCCATGGGTTTATCCGCCAAAAAAACCCGGGGTAAAACCCGTTGGGTTTGAAAAACTCAAACCCAACCCAACCCGCTGGGTATCCGCGGGTTCATGGGTACCCGTGGGTTTTTGTGGTAAAAAATTTACAATAACAAGTTTCTTTCAAAATAAAAGTTTTACATCAATTTTCTCATACAAATTAATCATACAAAAAAACACCAATCTAGAGCATACAAGCAAACCTCAAATGATCAATGTAAATTGTTCAAAATTAAGATAAACATCTATAAACAAAAGATTAACTGAAAGCTTCTTCCTCGTCAACTAAGTTTCTTCACTCTCCACTTCATAATATCAACTTCATTCTAAACAATTAGAAAGAACAAATTATACATGTTTCCACAAACATAAAGAATATTAATTGTTTAAGGAAGATATATTATTTAGAATATTAAATATACCGGGAAAATAATTATATGTGTGTGGGCGGGTACCCATGGGTCGGGTTTACCTAAACCCAAACCCAACCCGACCCGGTGAATAGTGTAGCGGGTTTAAACCCGAACCCGGCCCAAAACCCGTCAACACGGATTTTACCCGTGTTGACCGGGTTGGGTCGGGTGGGTACCGTGGGTTCGGGTTTTGTTGTCATCCCTACTCCTTACTCATGTTCTACAACTGGGCGAATGGGTGGTAGCTTATAGGATTCGAAGACATCCACAGTGATATAATCTTCAGATGTTTTGTGGGCGTATTGCTGCTTTCGGGAGCGGATATGGTGACAACACCATATTTGTTGTTATTGTAACAATAACATGGGTGGACCAATAGGAACCCACCATTGTGTATACTTTTTAATTCCATGCGTTGACTAGGGTAAAAAACAAAGGAAGGGTATTTTTGTCCTACCGAATCATTGCAGCTCCTTTTGTCCGAAAAATTGCAGCTCGTTTCTCTCTCCCCACTTTATTCTCTCTCCAATCGCGCGGCGCCGAGGCTGAACGAAAACACCACCGCAACGATGGCAACTAGAGCCTGATCGCAGCAGCTACCGCAACGGCGGCGACGGCTGAGCAAGCTCCTGATCGCAGCTAAGACATTGATGATGGACGAGAATCGTGTAGATGAAGTTTCTGTTGGTTCTGTAGATGCTCAACAACTCCTACAAATTGCAACATCTTCTGACAATGCAACAGCAAGCGGATATCAGCTCGAAACCTCTATTTCCACCAACAGTGCCAACAATGAACAAGAAGAAGGTATGCTCAAATCAATCCTTCATGTTTTCTTACAATGAGCACCACAATCACGCTTATACAAGCCATTTACCATATCATAAGCAATACCAATCAAAACCGCCCACAAAAATCCCACAAACGATACCAAAAGCATCGCCAAACACAACACATTCTTCCCAAAACAATCCACAGAAAAAAATAGACAATCAACCAAAACACTTAAAAATCAAACCAAAAAACTTGAGATGAATCCATGGTTAAGTTTATTCATCATTTGATGTTATTCTATGCAAAGTTGAGATGCTCTGTCAAGCCCGGAATAATTACCGTGGATCTCCCTTGGCATGCTCCCGGTCGTCACTGCTCACCTCTTTCCGATCAAAGCTCAGGCGAGTTTGAATTCTTGTCCAGCCGACAGCCTTAAATAAGGTCAATTTAGCACGGATTTTACGTTTAACATTCCGCTTTCCCTATTTTGCAGCGGGTAATTGATTATTCTTCCCTGATTTGCTCCTTACAGCTCAAATTTGAGCTTTATCAGTCAAACTGCATTAATGTCTCTCTCCTCCGTTATTAATTGCTTATTTTGTAATTGAATTTCCTTTGTATTCAATGTTGACTTTTATTACTTTCCTGCTTTTGGTGTATTAGTGGCACTAATGCTCTCCCCTTTCATTTTAACGTTTAATGTTTCCCCCTAATCAAAATGTGTTCTTTAACTTCTTTTTTATTTTTTAGAGTAGTGTAACTTTTGGCTTTGGCTTGTCTTTGTATTTGTTTTTTTTTTAGATTAATTTTCTTGCTTTCAGTCATTTATTATTTCTTTCATTTTGGGTTTAACTTTTATTTTATTATTAGTGTCAGTTTAGTTTCTCTAGGTAAGGTTTTTCGGGTTGGGTTTTTTTACTTTGGGTGTGTGTTTTAATATTCTCCGTGTGTTCTTTTTCTTAGGTTTGAGTTGTTGTTAGCCTGATGTAACCTTTTTTTGTGTCATTTATTCGGCTTATCAATAATTGAGATGTGAGGCTTTTTGTTACTTCGGTAAGTTTGCTCTCTACTATATTTGGTTGTTGTAATCGGCCGGTCTGTCGTTTACTTTATTCATTTTGTACAACATATTTGGTTGTTGTATCTGGTAAGTTTGATCTTGCCTTCGTTTCTGTATCTTGTGATAGTTTTTGAAATTTCCATATATGTGCTATTTTGTTTGTATTATTGCAGGGATCTTACCTTCGCTTTCATATTTGGATGCAATTGCAATGCTTATTCCTCTCAGACGGGGTATTCATGGGGAAGTACTATCTTCTTTCTCTCTTCCTGAATCAGTTTCGTGTCTTTTTGCTCTTCCGAGCTTTCTCAGAGCTGCCCATCTTGTGCCATAAAAGGCTCTTTCATCGGGAGTCCGGTTGCATACGGACTACTGTTCTTTATTGTTGTCTTTCTTATATATTTGTTGTCCGGCCATGCCCTGGGGGCTTATCTTGGATAAAAAAAAAACCAAAAAACTTCTTAAAAGCACCAAAACACCTCCAATGCACACCATTAAAACCTAAATCGTTACATTCCGCAATCTGTTTGTAATAAAAAAATCATACACTGTAATGCAAACCATAAATGTCATAAAAGCATCATGAATAACTACAATGCAAACCACTTTTCACTTTTCTAGTAAATATCATCGCAAAATGAAATGATCAAGTTCTCATTTCTTTCATCATTGCTTACAGGTGTGACATCAAACAGATCCGAGTCAGACTACACTAGTTTGGGGTTGGCATTCAAAACCATTGAGGAAACAAAACAATTCTACAAGAACTATGATCACGATCTTGGCTTCAGCGTAAGGGACATGGGAGCTGTCAAATGTTCTACAAAAAGACAGCCAACCAAAACAGGACGATATGCTAGGTATTGCTGCAGCAAAGAAGGATACAAGACCACAAGCAAGTCAAATCCCAAGAATAAAGGATCAATCGATGTCAAGGCTTATCAACGTGCTGTACCAGAAACTAGAGTTGGCTGCCCAGCTATAATCAAATTCAGATATGATATCAAGAAGGATGAATGGCTGCTGAACAAGTGGGTAACAGAACACAACCATGATCTCCTCCCTCCAAAATTCAAACATCTGTTGAGGTCAAACAAGGGGATCTCAGAAATGCATGCAATGGTCGCACAAGTGCATGCAGATTGTGGAGTTTCATTACGGCATTCATATGAGTTGTTCACTACAACTTAAGGGGGGAGGGTGAATGTACCTTTTACCCCTCATGATATGAAGAACTATATCACAGGGACAAGGCAGAAATCAATGAAACCAGGCGAAGCAACTATACTTCTTGAACATTTTCGCTAGGAAGATTACAAGAATCCATCATTCTTCTATGAAATTGAGGTAGATAGTAACGAAGATATTGAAAGTATATTCTGGGCTGATGCAAGAATGCGGTTTGACTACAGTTGCTTTGGAGATACGATCAGTTTCAACACCACATACAGGACAAACCAGAATTATCGTCCACTAGGTCAGTATTCCTTGCACTAGTTAATTTTCTTGAGATTTCGAAGTTGAATGCATACCAAACATTACGCAATGCATACCATAAGTAACATAAAA